ATGATTCTATGATTCTATGATTGTCCTTAGTCCAGCCAGGGGTGAGGGTGGGACCCTGAGCAACCTCGGGGAATGGAGTCATGTTCTGCCGAGCTCCTGGGCACTGGCCACTGTGCTGGGAATGGGGAACCCAGAGCAGCAGGAGGGACTAGTCCCAGGACACAGCCTCTCTCCGTTAATATAGAGAGGTGATTAGATGAAAAGCTGGTGTTTTGTGGCTAGTTGGGAACAGAGTGAGCAGTATCATATCCCACTGCCATGTCCCCACCACATGCCGGCTGAGTCGCGTGCTCCTGAGCAGCTTCGAGGGAAGAGACCTGCCAGCCGTGGGGGGCTCAGACCAGCACTCGTGGGAGGTCTGATTTGGAAGCAGCCTCTCCCTCTGGAGCTGCAGAGAATAACCCTGAGCATCATGCAATCCCCATGTCTGCACGACTCATCTCTGTGGGGGAACACTGCCGCGCTCCTCGCACACGGGCTGTTCCTGATACAATGCTGGAAGCTGGGACTGGGCTGTCGTGCAACCCTCCTCCTCGCTGCTCCCTTCACTGCTGGCTGTGGAGAGAGGTGACACCTGGACCTGGCCTCCGGGAACATCCCGCAAAGCAGCCGCTGCCTGGGCTGGCACCATCCCCAGCACTGGGCTGCATTGCTCTGGCTGAGCCCTGCTCCTCGCACCTACTGATTTCCAAACACATGCTGGTTCAGGCCTGAACACCCTGACCTAGAGCACAGCACCAGCTCTGGAAAACTTCCAGGATCAACACTGACTCACTCTACTATGTCAGTGAAACAAGAGAAGGAAAAAGTGGAGGTGAAGGTTGAACGGCTTTAGAACAGCAGAAGGAACTCTGCTGGTGTATTTACTGGTTTTCACCTAGGAAATGAGAGCCCTTGATTCTCCATCCAGTACTATAAGCCACAACAAGGAATATTTTCAGTTCTATAATACACAGGGCTTGTGAGGATGAAGGGCGATCAACCCTTGGCTGATGATGTCCTCTCACAGGAGCTCACCCTTTGGTCTCCTAACCTGGAGGAGAGCACAGACTGTGGGTGATGCTTAAACAACATCCTCCGTGCCCAGGATAATTGCATCTCAGGTTGTTCTATTTATTGGCTGCCCCCTTTCAGGTCCAGGGGCCTGAAATTTCCACATTTTCTAAGAATGAGTTCAGATCTGCAACTGGAATAGAGATCAGGGCAATGAATCTGCCCAATTTACCCCACAAGTGAAGCCCTAAACATCTGTGTGTGTGTCTGTTGCCCAGAAGTCTGAATGGTGGGGTTAGTCCTTGGATTACAGACTAGCAGCCTCAAGAGTGTCCCTTCTGATTCTCCTGGTCAGTTGGTGTAGATCAGCATGACACCAGTGACACCAAGACCTAGCCACAGACCAGCCTGCATCACAGTGATATTGATTCATAAATCAAGCAAATGTCTGGTTTTGCAGCCAGTCAACCTGTGCTGATCACCAGCGATAAACATGTGTAAAAGCCTCACTTACTTTGGATAAAAGTTGTGCACCCATGAGAGGAGGAGATAAATATCCTTGTCTTCCAGATGCGACTCAGCATTTTTCATTGCCTGGGAGGCAAAATAATTGTGGTAGAGTTCTGCATATGTGCTGAACATGTTAAACTCCGGAGGATAAAGCTGTTTAATGTATTTTACAACCACCGTCAAATCTTCTTTCATTGTCTTTCCCATGTGCAGGAGGTTCTGGCCAACTGCAGAGAGGTTCTCAGTTCTAGGAGTATGACTTGTGTCTTTCATTCGAGTCTCTACTGACTCCTTTACTGTAGCCATCCAAAGCTCTTTCCATTTTCTAGGTCTAACCTGCATGTTTTGGTCAGGTGGATTCTCCAACATGTAGTTCTGATCTTCTTTCTCCTGTTCTTTCAGCACATCTACTGCCTGCTGCAGCAGTTCAGGGTTTGTTTTCGCCAGAAGAATAGAGTCTTTCAAGATGCTGAAGACTTTGTGCTTCAGAACTTCGTAGATGGACTCGACATCTTGCTGGCTGATGTTCAGACCCTCCTCACTTTTGCTAGACAGGCTCTTCTCCAGGACAATCAGATGCTGAGCGGCATCGCAAAGCTTGTGCTCTTCAAGGAGATCCATGACTTGCTTGACTGATGAAAAAGAAAACAGCCTTTCTTTACCCAATAGCAAAGATTTAAATTCCTATTTTATATAAAATGATGGCTCTGGAATACCTTTTTTAAAAAAAGTTTATATTTCTATAACACTAGATCTTAGGCTTCTCCACCATATAGAAAATCTTTCTGTTTATTTAAAATTAATATTATTCCTAGCCCACCTCTAACTGGGGCAATGGAAGTTTGAATACCCATCACTAATGTGTTACATATGGACAGATATTCATGTGCTACCCATATTTGTTTCCAAAATTCAGATATGTGGAGGTTTATTCATTTATTTATTTATTATCTCCCCTCCCATTAATACAACCGCAAGTAAGAAGCATGGCTTTAGAAAAAAACATAGACGGACAGATGTACCTAAATAAGATGTGCTAGAGGAAATACCACATGGGTTTTCCAGAAATAGGCTGGCACAATCCAACCTGTGAAATTTTTTTGGAGGGCACATTTAGCAGGCAAGACAAATACAATTGAACTCTCTTCTGAACTACAGCCAGTTACTCGATACAGTGCAACCTCAGAAATTATTAGTTAAACTAGAGAAATTATGTCCCAAAAGAAGTTTTTTTAGGTGTGTAAGGTTTGTATGGAAAGCCCTGGGTGGAGAAATCTTACGTTATTCATGAAATTTATCTCACTTCATGTTCTCCTTAGAGACTGTGGCACAAAAGCTGGGAGTGCCCTATTGGCATCTGCTGATTACACAAAGTAACCGAAACTGAGGGCTTGGTGTATTATACAGGAACAACGGGATAACTTGAATAGTAAATGGGCTGAAATTTAATAGCACAAAGTATAAGATAGATACAAATTCGATAGAGCAAAAGTTACTTAGCAACAAATAGGATTTTCTGCTGCAAGCTGGATATGACTCAGCTTGAGATGGAGGAGGAAGAGGGATGCCTGAAGAATTAGTAAATCATTACTGTGAGATGATGGTGGGAAAGTCAGGTATGACCCCAGCCTGTACCTAGTGAGGAATGTCCAGCTGAGATAGAAAAATGGTAACACTTTGTACCAGGCATTGGTGATATCTCATCTGGAATATTTTCTGCAATTCTTGTTGCTTTATTTCTAAAAAAAGACACTGGAAATGGGGCAATGCAGCAGTAAGAACAAAGGCACGAACGGCCTGTTTTCATTAGGCTTGGTTCATTTAGCTGAGCAAATTTGAGGCCAAGAAGGGAAACCATCAGTTAGGGAAAACATGTGACACATGCAGAAAAAGAAGCCAATCAGACAGGTAAAGGCTTGCCTGGTAACGAGATAATTTGTACTAAAAAAGTGAGACTTTGGAGGAGCCCCCCAGTAAAGGAGGTAGGACTAAAAATGAACTTATTTTAAGGTGCAACTTGCTAAGTTTATGAACCAGGCAATGAGATATGTCAGCTGAGGTGTCAGGTGAGCCTTGGAAGTGCAAAGAGGCACTCTCCTCTCCAGTTCTGGGTTTCTCTACACAAGTTTTTTTCTACCTCTCTAACCACTCTGCAGGGATGATGCCCGTGTCTGGAGGAGCTGTATGTTCAGGAGGAACAGACAGAGAGGTATGCCTTGGTTTCTCACCCACCCACAGATCTCTGTGCTCCCATGAGAGGGAGAAACAAGTTTCATTTTGGACAGAAAACCTGCAAACTGGCAGCTCCTCAAGGAGCGTGCCCTTGGTACCAAAGGACCAGGACTTGAGGTCATGTCCCCCCCAACCCATGTTTCTCCAGGCTCCTTGGGTAAGTCACTTCAATCTGTCAGTGCCCTTGTTTCTCAATTCTCCACCTCATGCAGCTCCTCTAAAGATAAGTATGGCCTACGAGGTGATGCAAGGAGGATGGAGGAGCACTTACCACTGGGTGGCTTGGTCTTTTTCATCTTCTTAAGTGCACTTGTAAGGATTCCCTTTATTCCTTTCCTCCCCTTCTCAAGGCTGTCCCCAGCAGAGGTGCAGCTCCCATTGCTTGTGATGGAAGATGCACGTGAGGGTCTGCAGGCTGCCTCTGGCCTTTCACTCATCTTCTCCTGGTCCCTGGACCAGATCTCTTCTCCAGAAGGTTCAGGACAGGCAGAGACTTGTTCAGCTACTGATGTTGAAGGGTTTTCAAGCTGCCTGTTTGCACCAATGCAACCCTCTGATCCATCGCGTATTCCAATAGGACCACTTTGGAAAAAAGGTAACATTTTCATCATTTTCCTTCTAGCCTGTAAATTTCAGAAAGAACTGGTCAGATTATAGCAGTTTACATAAAAACTACAATGGCACAGTGTGACAAGGTGTATTCCCATTAAAAAAACAATTCTGGAATGAATTGTCCCTGTGTGGGTGGTGTGGGGCGCAATAAACACACATGTGGTATGGGTGCAGCTCTGCAGGAGAGCTCTTGAGCAATGTCACCTCAGGTAGCTGAGAGGATCGAAGCAGCTCTGGTCCAAGAAAAAACTTAGAGAAAACTGATGAGTGACTTTAAGGGTGATTTAGATGGCCTGGTTTGAGACCTTGAGCCTGTCTGGATATAGGGCATCTCTGTGGGATGCTGTGGCAGTGAAGTGAGCACGGATGCTGCACACGAATTAGGTGGGTGGGGTGGGACAAGTGTCCTGTACCTATTCAAAGCAACCACAAAACTCCCGTAATTTTATATGGCATCAGGATCAATGCCAACCTTCCTCAGGGCCTGTTTTTGCTGATCTCTGCCCATCTAGCTGCAGATCCATTTGTGGAAGCATCCATGTAGCTTCTTGCACACTGAGTTTGCAAGTACAGTGTGAAAATAAGACAAGTCTACCAAGCCAGGTATGCGTCAGTCTTTGCTAAGCAATAGTCCTGCTGGTTTAACTGTGTCCCCATTGAAGCCAGTAATAAAATTCTTAGTTTTACTGAGGAGAGCCCCAGAGAATGTGGCTGAGAGTTCAGAAACATCTGGGATGTGAAAGACGTGGTTGAAAGGATGGGAGTGTGGAAACACAGCAGTATCTCCTGATATGAACATGACTTCAGGCCCAAAAGCCTCAGTCAGAAGCATGGCTTTGATGCTCTGTGTGCTGTCTGTGTGGACACAAGCTCAAGGACCTGTTCAGACCCTTCAAACCCACTCATAGTCTATGTAATGTCATTTTCAGAATGGTCCCAAGGTAAGTACAGCATCCCAAACAAGGCAACTTCAGCCTGACTTGTTGGGTGTTTTCAAATACGAGGGCACGATTATTGTCCCATCGGTTTATGTTGAAATCTGAGGCTGCAGTGTGAGCAGTGGCTTGTGCAGAAAGAAACGCTAGTGAAAAGGGCTGGTGGAGGGGGCAAGGTTCTGACAGCAGGGACTAACCAGACTGGACTTTTGACCAGGGCTGGTGCTCATCCAGAGGGTCCTTGCCTGGCTGAGAGGGAAACTGCAACAAGGCACCAGGATTGGTCTGGTTTAGCCTTTTTTAAACAGACATTATGCTGCCAGAGTCCTGCTCTACCACCAACACTCCTGCGCTACAAATAATTGACGATAGAAATTTGCTATTGTAACAACATCTTTTCAGAATTTCTATTTAGAATTATTTATTTTTTTGAATTATTCTAATTTTGAGATGTATTTATGTATCATTTAATATCTTGCAATAGATTTATTTTCATAATTACATTCATTTATGTAATGATCATAAGTATATAGTTATTATAAATAAAGTGACTCATAGTTTCCAATTCTTGTTCAAACAGTGCTTTTTTATATGTGACTTTCTGGGTGATCAGTGCACTTCTGTATGAAGAGCTCTCAGGCAAGTTTTGGCTTACTTGTACCGCATCGGAGCTGAGCAATTAGGCTTTAAATAAAGGAAGAATTTGGCTCCAGTTATGAGGCCACAGTGTGGTGATCTTCAAATACCCTTGTTAAGTTTATACTGTTGATGTGTATCACATTGATACAAACCATGATATTTATTTCTGGAGAAACTGTTTGGAAGACTGTGGCTTTTCATTTTGATTGCAATTCCTCCGTCTGCCTCCCGGCTGCTTAGAGAGCTTTGGAACATCAAGTTAGTGGTAGCAGCCAGGTGATACAGAAAGCAGTTACTCTGGTATCACTGGGAAGCATTCCTTCTCGCTGCCAGGTCACATTTGGGATTAGTAATGCTATTGCTTTTAAAACACAGTGAAGATAAAAACTCATTTGGGAAGGAGAGAAAGGGGTGTGGGTGTGCATGATCTGGCTGGCTCCCAGCTAAACTGGTGGTCTGTGACCTGGGGCAAAGTGTGAAGCTACTCAAGGAGCAGGACGGCGGAGGTGGCCGAGAGGCGTTGGGTTGCTGCTCAGCAGAGCCCTCGTGCCCCAGGGCTGCGGGGCTGCGGCGTGGGACAGCAAAGGGGGCCCCAGCACCGGAGCTGCCCAGCAGCAGCAAGTCGCAGCTGCGGCTACCACCTACCTCCTCCCATTGCACGTTTACTGGGGGAGGAGGGAGGAAAAATCTCTGTGGTTCACTCCAGCTACTCTAGTCAGGATGCCCCGTTAAAATCCTAAAAACAGTGGAAAAGAGCTCCTTTTTCTTCCATTTCCATTAAAAAAAAAAAAATAATCATGGCAATCAGGATTCTCTGTAAGTGCTTGGGACTTTCGTAAGTTTTGTAGGGTTATTTTCCTAGCCTGCATTTCCAAATATGATGCTGTGTTTAGATTCATTCTGCCAAATCCCTTCCTTCCTGTTTGTTCAAGCACAGACTCAGCCAGTCCTTTCTCTCCTATTATTGCAAACAAAGCATCTATTGTTCCTATTTTTGTTGGGTTTTTTTTTTTTTCTAAACAAAGAAGGTACTTCTCCCTTTCCTATAGCCAAAGGTGACTTTCAGAGTCTTTTTCATGAAGTCATATTTTCATGAACGATGATCAGAAAGGCAGATTTCAAAATGGTTTTGCTTCTTCTTCAATGCTAAGATGAACGTCATGTATCTTTGAAAACCATTGAAGTGACACTACACATAAAAGAATCCATAAGGGAACAATTAAGCTGGTCTAAAGCTTAATTTTTAATTGCTGGCAGAACTTTGTCCTGGTAATGCTCTGAAAGGGCCAGGTGCAGGGACTGGCGATGCCCGGGAGCGAAG